GAGTTAAAAAAATAAATAACTTTCAATGATTAAAAAGCCCAGGTCAATATTTGATTGGAAGCCCATTTCTGTGCTTCTACATCCAGTTAAACCTGAATCGGCATTTCTCATCCTGAAAAAGAAGTATCATCTAACTGAGTTGGGAGACAGCAGTAGTTGTTTGCCCTACAGTGCTCAGAGCGACAGATGCCAGAGGTCAGTATAGGGTGCACCTTTCGATATGGCCCTGTGGAAATAAATCTGGAAAAGCCAGATAGGCAGTTTTAATCCCTCTGCACTCCATCTTGTATACAGTACATGGGTAATACCAGCATTCCATTTACATATAAAATAGCAGAAAGGAGAGCAAAGGGCCAGCATTAGCCACAATTTACACAACGTCCTAGTTGTTTGTGCGTCGCACGACATGTACAGTTAAAAATGAGACATAATGAAAATCTACAGTTTCTAATACTGTATATCCTGATACACTGCGAGATTTAAACAAAACAATAGTTCTGCAAAAATTAACAAGAATTGAAAAATATGTTTTACAAAAAACAAATGAGCAAACTTCAGACAACAATCTAGCTCTAGTCTAGGTCAAAATGAATCTGAATTTGAAGTTACTGGCATGATTTGTTTCTGAGCGTTAACATTTCTATGGATTTATTTTGTTAATACCTGATCAAGTGCAATCAAAGAGGTGATGCAGGTGGGAAAAAAATGAGTCAGAATTTCCTGCAGCATAAAAAATGGATCGGAAACATTCATATAAAATGTTTTTTTCCCCCCAATTGCAATTTTTTTCTTAAAGGAGCAAACAGGGCTCTTTTTTATTTTCTGTTCTCAATAATAAAAATGAGTCATTTATATTCAAGGACTATTTGACATTTCATAATGGGTTGGTTCTAGCTTTGTGACATTTAAAGGCGTTTTCCTGTTTTGAGAGGAAAAAAAATCTAGTTTTAGATTCACTAGCATGGTGAATTATGTAGACCTGTTTCATATTTCTCCAAACACACAGAATTCACTTACAAAGACTAAACTCCTGTTTTTCCCATACAACATTCTCAAGGCAAACATCTTGCAATGGATGTGTCATGTTTTCCTTTATCTAAGGCAACAGTTCTTAGCAGGTTAAAGACACTGATGTTTATATCATTGTTTAACTTCCTCTAAAGCTTGTTTCTTCTTACAAAACATTCTGTTCAAAATGTGACCAAACACACTGCTGACAAATGACCAATTCTTTATAAAATGTACATAGATGAATAAATTATACGTTGTGTCTTATTCCAGGTAAGTTAGGTTCTACAGGATATACATTATACCATTACAGTTTTTAACATTTTATCTTGTGTTAAAAAAATAAATCAAACCTGAGGTACCTGCAATAACATGTATTTAAGACAGAGCTGTTCCACATGTTTCAGGAAACAATCTGAAACTCCTATTACAAATGTATTCAATTGCCATTTACAGTATGTACAGTATAGAAGCATGTATACATGTATATGCTGTATGTTTTTGGTGTCTTTTTTGATTATCTCATTCAACATATTTACATGATGCATTCCATCAGAATTCAAAACATCTTTAGGACACATACAGTATGGTTTTTGAATTACATAACCCATTGGTATATTTGGACAAGATGGAGAAAATAGAATTTTATCAACTATAACAAAACTCATTTTATTTCAGTCCTGTGTTCTGTTTGTGGTGATGTAGACTAGGACAGATCTAGTTAGAACTTGTCACTGAAAAGAAGAACCTGGTTAAAACTGATGAGACTTTTTGAGAAGAAAGACAGGTCTTTCAGAATCTGCCCTTATTTAAATATTCCAAACAAATTTACTGTTAATCAAAGAACAAATTGAATAGCCATTAGTATTGACAACAAAATGATGTCTGAATGTTCGAAGCTGATAGGTGTGATTTCTAAAGTTCACTTGCATTACAGTTCCTAAGCGTAGAGTTAAACGTTATTAAAGACCCATGTATATTTCTGCACAATAACATAGCTAATACACTTTTTGGAATTCTTACAATGAAATAGTATATAATGTCAACAGAAAGTCACGTGGGTTTCTGGATTTCAGAAATCTAATAACAACTATGTGTAACACTGTGAAACAGAAAGTTTCATTAGAAATATTCTATGGTGATACAGACTTAGTAGTGTGAAGCAGCCTCACTCATCTCATTTTAAGTTTTAAATGGGAAAAGAAAAACAGAAACTTCACATTATAGATATAGGGGCAGCAGTGTCATACTATTCTTCCCAGCTGGAAGGATGTGAATTCTGTACTTTGTACAGTTGCTCCAGTAAACAGGTAAACGCATTGCTGGAGGTAACCCTGTGATTGAATAGAATTTCAGCCAGGGGGGGTCACATCCTCCCTGTGTTTGCTTAACACTACAGACCCTGGGAGAAGCTCTGGTCTGATGAGCCTCAGGGCTGAAATGTGGACTTTGCCTGCTGCTCATTACAAGTACTCTGACATGTTGTCAGTCAGAAAGAAAGAGTTTATTCACTGCTGAACAGAAACGTGCAACATAAAAACATGCATGAGTGCCCTGCCATCCTACTTCAGCTCTCAATCATACTTCTTACTGCAGTGCATTCCATGACAAATCTCTGTGGTACTGATCAGTCAGATTGTATATTACACTACAGAGGGATGAAGCTAATTTTGATAACCTTGATTCTAATAAATTAACTTAGGTACTACTTATGAAGGCACCAAACTCCCCTCCCCTGACAAGAATGAACCTTTATGATGTGGGATTTTACCAGAAAGAAATATTTAAAACTGCTAAGCTTCAGTTGGCTTTATTTGTCCTCCATATTTTCAGTACATTTTAAAATGTAGTCTACAGATAGCCCTGTGCTGTAAAGGCTTTTAATCATACTTTAATCTGAGTTTTAAGGTTTTGTGTATCCTAAGATGCAACTGTAATCATTTAGAAACTTCTTCATTTACATAGGGGTTCTTACCATTTTATAAAATACTCTGGCGAACTACTGTATACAGTACCAAAGATGTCATAAAACATCTGTCTTCAGTTTGTAATTTGTCTGCATTTAGTATTTATTTTTCAGGCTTGCTTTGACCTCAGGAATAGATATTTGAAGCACATCTTTTAAAGATTTTGACATTTCAAATAACATTTGTTCCCTTATTTTCAGAACTTTCTTATAATAAACTTAGCAAACAAAATGTCTGTTTTATTTTTCAAAATTCAGCTACTGAAATAATAAACCATGTGGTCTTGCTTGTATAGAAATAAGATCATACTAAAGAAATGATAAAAATACAGAAAAAATGTGACCTCTTTCTGGGTCCACATAAGCAGCACAATCACAGTGAGAAAAAGTCACTTTGATGCAATTAATGACATTATGGCAGGAAATATCGCACCCCCTCCTACTTAAGAGGAGGATGCCAGATTCTTAGAGGCTTTGTATAAATAATTAAAAAGGCAATACGGACCAAAAATACTTAAATACATCCAATGTAACAATAGCTGTTTTTCAATACGTCTGAGGGATTTCCAGACTCACTTTGCCAACAAAATAAATAGGAATTTGATATCATTTCTCAATATGGAATATAGTCTGCCATTTCTTATCTGACATTCTTTCTTCCTGGGGGAGGGAAGGCTAAGCTAATAGAATTAGAAGTAAACGGTGCAGAACTATAGACAATGACAAGTTCCTCAAGTTCCATTACTAACATTTGTAGATGACAATGGATTATATGATTTATTAGAACAAATATATAATACATGTTTTATAAAGAAGATCCTGATTACTTCCATTGACATAAATCTTATAGATTTTTTTTAAAAAGCTCCTGAATTATTATTACTTAAACCAGACATATTCATTTAACTGATTAACATACTGTAGGAGCAGTGGCAAATAAGATTTTAAAACACAAATACCGTGTGAGTTTGACTTTGGGCCAAAGCATGCATCTCTATTTGCAGGCTGATTCACTTTTTTCACACTTCGCCATACAAAACACATACTTTTCAAGCGCTGCCTACTACCCATTTGAAAGCTAGAGATATATAGTTTTGGAAAAGAAAGTTGTGGTTAACACCTTCAGCAGTCGCTCAAAATATAATTTCATGTTCATTAAAAGACTAAGTGGGTGAAAAACCAACAAAGAAGATAGAATTAATGAGTGGGTCAATTAATTTGAAGAAGTTTAAAAAAACATTGAAACAAAAAAAAATGGCGATGCATTTACAGTTGCTGTTCCACTGCCTCGTTTTCCCTAGTGATATTTCCTTCACTTCATATCAAACTAGAACCACAAATCTTTGTATAAATACAAGGCTGTCGGTTCTGAAGATGAGTTGACGATTCCTTGATTAGGACTACTGCCCAAAGATTCGTGGAGTTCAGGATTCCTGTTCTCAGCAATGATGCACTGCCTTGGGAAGCTTAGGTTTTGATTCGCGTTTTTAATCTCGTACACTGTAACTCTGCATTAAACATGCATAGGCTGGCTGGCAGTGCAAGAACAACATCGCGTAAATCCCCTACAAGGTGTTTCACTGTTTTTTAAATGTATTAAACACACGTTACGTCTACGATTCCCAGACCGGTCAGAATTTTCTCAAACCATAAGAAAGCCGCCTCAAGTCAAAGGTCCCCTTTTCGACATACAAATGTCTAACACACAGCTGTCAGCGCTCAGAAGAAATGTGAGGAACAGATACAGGGGGAGGCACTTGTGGGCGATAACTTTAAGTATCTGTGCACTGACAACAGGGCGTAAAAGCCCAGCTACCACTTTTCTGAGCAAGTGGTTCTCCACGTCAACAAAATAAGCGACAACTGGCGAAATAAACGACAATGCCGATCCCGAGAAGTGAAACCATCCCTCGGATGGAGTTGCATTCCCGTTTATGATATCTATACCGCACAGAACATCTACAATCACTCGCAAGTAATGTTGTTTGCTCCATCATGCATGTTTCAACAAAGCTTCTCGTCCTACCTCCAGACTTGTCCCAGTTGCAGGATGTGGATGATGGACTGAAAGAGCCACATACAGATCCTGCAGCACCTCTGGGTACCGCTCCGGCTGCCGGATGAGGGTAGTACCCTCGCCCCGGTAGCGCAGCCGGCGCCTCGCTGGTCGCTGCCCTTGGTGCTGAAATTAAAATCTCCGCCCGACGCCGCTGCGGCGGCGGCGGCTGCTCCGCTGCTATTGCTGTTATCCGAGTAATCGTAGACGAACCACCTGAAACTTAACACCTGAACCACCACGGAAGGCACCACCACGAAAACGAGCGTCAGCCCGAACCACCAGTAGTCCCGCTTCAGGTAGTAGTCCACCGCCAGCCACAGGTCGGTGGCCCCGTCCGAGAAGAAGACCAAGAGGGCACAGAGAACCCAGCAGCAGTCCAGCAGGGAGTAGCGCTTCCCGGCATGGCGGTATAGGTGTGGACGGTGCTCCGGGCTCGCCAGAGTCCGAGATGGATTTTCATTCTGCACAGACACGGCTGCTCCATCAGATTTAGCGGCCATGTTTGTTGTAGAGGAAAAAAAAAAAAAGAGCGAGAGAGAGCAAGAGGGAGAGCGAGAGAGGGAGAGACTTCCGGATTAGACTGGGAGTTTTTTGAATAAAAATATTGTTTTATTCATTTATTTAATCTGCACATTTCGCGTGAATAACAAAAGGTGATATCTGTCCAGACAAGAGGCTTCCGGATTGATATGAATCGTGCTTCCTTTCTCAGCGCGAGTCGACTCGCTGCCGCTGCTGCTGGCTCGTGTAACCTGTGCTGGTTGTCATGGAAAGGGATGGTTTCGCTCATTAGCATAGAGACCAAACCTCTAGTAATATGATATTGATTAGGAAATTCATCCATTTATTCATGCTGCTTCGCTGGTACTTGTTTGGTTTGTGGCGATTGGAGCATTTGCTTTCGGCTCTGCAAAAAAATTGACTTTTCTCCGTATATGGAGTGTTAACATCCCGTGTTTAAAACGTTTCATTTTTGCATTAAAGATCTATATGGCAATGCATTTTGATAATATGCAATGATGCACAGTCTTCATTTTGGTGGGTTTTTGTTTTTCTTGCACACCAGTTTAATCCCTGAATGTATTTCTTTAAATGTTTGGCACTAATACAGTATATTTTCCTGACAAATAAAACGATATAATTTTGTATTCATGTGCATTGCATATACACACCTATTGCTAAGGAGAGGTTGCACTATGCTTTTACTCTTTGCTAAGGCTTGAAATCTCCTCAACTTCTTTGCTACTAATGCCTTGTGTGGATTGTTAAATCGTTTCATAAAATAAGTGCAGATCCTAACTCCAGTAATATCATATTGATTAAAGGCAGCTGCATCTCATGTCGCCCATGATGTCCTTTACGCTTAATAATCTCTCTGAAACTCCTCTTCAAATGCATCATTGAGAAGTAATCCAATTGTCATGGTATGAGCTGTAAAGTGAACCATGTGGGCTAAGACCCACCCTTGATATTGTCATAGAAGAGGATGCAAGGCAATATTTAGAACCCTTTGTCTCTGTGATCAGGCTTTTGCGATAAGGACCAAAATTTCTAGATCATAATATTACCATATAATAATTTTTAAAAGTATACAAAGACAAGCTTATCAACTTATTTTTTAAATAGTAATATTTAAAAAGGATTGCATTGTTGTTTTGATTGCCAGTTTCTTAATTGCTTAATATACAATTATCCTAAATTTTCAAAATCCCCAATTAGATTTTATTAATTGAATTTCTTTTTAATTCGGACAAAGAAAAGCCTTTTGTTAATCCTTCAAAGGTCAAATTCTAGCTTCTTAAAATTGGCAGATGCATAAGCTACAGTAAAGTATAAGCTCTCCAAATGTAGTTTAAATAAACCCTAATAAATGTTGCTTTAGAAATTTGTCTTAGATGAACAACTTTACTAAAATAGTAAATAGTAATTAGTGAATCACTTTATCATACCAAGGTTTACTACTATTAGAATCCTAATGTTGAAATCATTATTGACAGCAAATGATGTGACTGAATTATTTCCCAGATAAGTTGGTCATGCACAACAATAAGTGTACCAACATATATACAGGTATATAAACAAAAACAATTTAAACAAAATCTATCGCAAAGGCAGGAATAGTTGTGGAGTTGAACTGGGTCACCCATGTCCTTAAACATAAAACAGTATTAAAATCTGTTAGAAATGAAAGTAAATGAAGTCTGATAAAAGTCCTCTTTATTTTATATGTAACCTTACAGATGTGGAATACAGCACAGACTAAGCTAGTCTTTTTTTCCCCAAAAGAGCAGACATCACTCAATGTTACTCCACCGCAACTCAGCTGTTTTTTTTTCCTAACATGGTAAAATCACAGATAAAGGGCTTTTTTCCCCTTAGTCTCCCACTTCTGGTGTCTTGTTTTCTATGTTTCATGGTTGCTGCTGTTCTATTGAGGCCCCTATCAAGCAGTCATCACTTAGTGTCTCCTACAAAAAAAGTGTTTCTGCGTTTCATTTGTCTCACACATTCCTTAGCTGGTTTCTTTTCTTACTGTTCTTCTAGCTGCACCAAAAGACCCTCCTCCCCTGCTGGAGTCTGCTTTTTTACATCACTTTGACAGTTGATCTCCTAAGAACATGAGGTAAGGGATGAATTTCCATGACTGTTTAAGTGATTCTAAGCAGTGTTCCTACAATGTACAGTATTGGGCTTGATTCAGCTTCTGGGGTTTCAGCTCCTTTTCTAAGCTCTGATTTCCTTATATTTATATCAAATTGTCATTATTTCAGAAGGTCCCACATCAGCCTGGACAACTGCTAAGCACTTTATATTTTGTCTCCATAATTATCTTCTCCTCCAGCTGCTCCACTAAAATGTACAACAATGATATAACAAACGGTGAATAACAAACCACACTTGGAGGATATAATAGATCACTTAACTCTGAATTGAGATGCTTTATTTTATTATGCATTTTCGATTCAAGTGTAAAAAAATCCTTGCTTTTTTGCTGTGTGTTTGTCATGCATGTCTTGAAATCTGATTTTGTTTAGATTTGAATAAAAGAACAAAACTGTTTGAAGCAATAGTCTAGTGTATATGTACAGTTTGTGTGTGTCTGTGGGTATACTGTATATTAATGTCTATGTGGGATGTGCTTTCACACTAACAAAACAAGTAATGTATTCTTAAATATTCAGAACCTCAGAACTTACAAATGTCCCTTGTAACTAAAGAATAATGACTGTGGATTGAAATCCTTCCCTTCTTCTAGATGTCTTTCTCTTTGATCTGCTAAGATAAAATAGACAGGAGCATGTAACTGTTAATACCAAGGGCATTGTCAATGTGCATGTTAGCATAAGGAGTCTAGCACAATGCAGCAGATGGTATTACTTTTTGTTCATAATCTCAGCTATCACCTGGAATGCCTGACAGTATTGCAATATCTACAACATGAATGTTTCATATATACAGTATATACACAAGGAATCACATAATGAAAGGTGGAGGTTAGACCACCTTTTATTAAAAATAATAACCCCCCTGCTTCAAATGATTTACTGCAGAGTTAAAAAAATGATCAAATGCGTAGTTCAATTTGCACTTTTAGAGGCTTGCTTAAAAGGTACACATTGTGTACTGTAGTAATGGTGAGTTTAAATTCAACTCTAGTTAAATCTGGTCAGCTAGCACTGTGTTGGCAGATCCTGCCAATGATCAAATCTCCTTTTAATCTCAGATTGAATTGATGGATTTTTTATTTTTTTGCCAGTCCTATCAAACAAAGAATAAAACCATTATTCAGCTAGTATATCTCCTTTTAAAATGTATTCAAAAAGATATAGTCTTAAGGGACTTATGAAGATATACAACTATAAAAAATCACTTTCTGTTCAGAAGAATGTACAAGTACAGTCAACATCAATGAATTTGAGGATATTTAAAAATATATAAAGGCTTCTGGCTATGATTGAATGTTTATCTATTAAAATTAAACACACCCATTACCATAATATGAAACATATAGAAGAAACTGGGATAGGGTTTCCCACAGTTCAGAAACAAGCGAAATAAACAGAAAACGTTTTTGGTTGTGAGATTTGTATAACTTGTATAACCTTAAAAGCAATTACTCTCTCTCACAGTATGCTTAAAAAGGCCATTCTACAGTTTATGTGAATTTGCCTTAGTCATATTCCATTTTCTCATGTCTCAGGCTCAGGAGCAATCCTCAAGTAAAAGCTTTTTTTCCAGAAGCATTCTGTTCAATGGAAATGTTACAGAACAGATTCACAATATTTCCCCGGGAATTTAAGATGAATAGTTAGAGTAACATTATACAGTATGTGCCACTTGTTTGAATTATTGAATTATAAAACAAACTACACTAGACTATCAGGTAAAAAACTAAGACATAGCCCTCCCCTTTTCAAGAACCGAGTTCAGGCTTAAAAGCATTGCAATACCATCCAATTCATTGTAAGATTCCAGCATGGCAGCCTTGCACTATGGATTCATTGTCAGCAAAAATAAAAGGCACTTATGCTTTATTGGACTGATCCTAAAACAAGGGCTTCTGCCCAATAAGCTAAGCTTTATTTCTCTCTCTTAGAAACAGTGAATGCACTGATGTGATATAATGAACTTATTAAAATATTACAGTACATGGACTAGAATAGCAGACAGCCCTTTATATCTTTTAGACATAAAAGATGTTGACATCTCCCTAGGATATGATGATGATCATGGCTCACTTTATTTACACACCATAGTTATAATAAAATCTAGAATAAGTTTGCTGCAGAATAAAACACTCCAAAAAGAGAAGTGATACAAGAAATAAAATCCTGATGCTATTGCCTGACATTATGACAGTATGAAGAATGTACCCCATATTTTCTACCTCTCCATAATACAATGCCAGCAAACTGAAACTGGCAAACAAATTCATGCAAATAATCTCCAGAATACACATGTAGGAGTAAAGTGGGATGAAATATTGACTTTATAGATTACAAGTGGGAACAAGTCATTGAAGCACTGTGTACTCAATCTTTGATAGGGGGTAGTGGTTAGGGCTTTGGACTTATATGTAGAGCTAAAAGGCTCTGTGTTCAAATCCCATATGGGGCACTGCTATTGTATGCACCTTTGAGCAAGGTACTTCACTCAAAGTGCTTCAGTAAAATGCCAGGCTGTACAAATGGGTACAGCTGTTAGTGGCTTAGGATAAAGGCATCAGCCGAATTAATCATTTACAGTAACACCCCAGACCACCGGTATGTAAAATTCTTTGATTATGTTCTCCATTTTACATTTAGGCATAAAAGGAATTAAAGATATTTCATCTAATGTATGTGTAAATACCATATGCTGTATTTAATTCAAAGGGCATTTAAAAACCATATGTTTTATAGAAACAAAGTATATGCAAAGTTACTGCACTTTTAAGGTAACAAAGCACATTTTCTTCCATTGGTCAAATCCAAGATGGCAGCTTGTAATAGCTAGGTTAAATTAATGTTGGGCTGTATTTTTGTGTTCTCACTGAAGATGTGCAGCTTGAGCCATGTCACTACCTATTTGTAATCAGACTGTTACAGTAAGGATTAGCCTATCTAGTGCTCCTTTGGCTTTCTGCTAACTACTCATTTGTTTAACTGACATTTTTATCCAAGGGAACCCCTTATACTGTACCATATATTGTACTAATTTATATTGTACAGCTGGGTTTTTTATTGAATACATTTGA